GTACTAGCGTTCTCGCTATAAGTTAAAATAGTTCTAGTCTAGCTCGAGCTTATCCTTTATTTAGACTCTCTAGAGGTCGTAGTCCTTAGTATTACCTAAGAACTTCGGAGGGTTCGCTAGTAGCTTTCTTATAAAATAACCGCTAGGTCTTCGCTCGGGAGGCGCCCTAGTTAGAATATTAGCCTAAGTTACCTCGTCGGGTACTATATCGATAACGATAGGGAGAATAAGTATAGAATATTCGGGCGTATCTTATTCGAGGACCTATAATAAGGTAGGCGTTACGAGCCTACTATAAATAAGTTATAAAAGCTCCGCGATTTACTCTTATATCGGCCGGAGCGAGGTATTTACTTACTTAGTATCTTATATAGTTACCTACGGGGGTATATCGAATATTTATTCATCGGATATCGTAGCTCGTGCTATACGAATACGCTATATCTTTAGATAGATCGTTAGATATATTATAGGCTAAGCCTTATTAAAATAACTCAGTAGCTTAGATTAAGTCTATCTAACGATAAGGTAGAAGAAGAGAAAAAAGAGGGAATTTACTATCCCTTTTTCCTATAAAGACTATATAAGGTCTATCCGTCCTCGCGGGCACGCGTCACGTGCCTAGGTGAACCGGGCTGGGTCTTGTACCCAGCCGCTAGCAACTAGTGGAACCGTAACAATTATCTAGGATCCCGTGTTTAGCCTTTATATTCCGTCGTTACGACCTGGTCCCTCGTAACCCCCTATAAGCAGCTATTACGCCTGTATTGATCGCTCGTCATTCGATCAATGCCTGATCTTTTGCCCATGGCGCAACGGCTTAGGCGCAGCCGTTACATCCGTACTAAATTAAACCACTCGCTAATAAGTTTCGGATCTTCGTATTTAGCCCTCTAGTAGTCGTATCTATGAGACTAGCGAGTATAGAGCTCTAGCTAGGCCTTAATAAAAGTATATACCTAGTTCTTCCCGATAGGTAGCGCGTCGCGTACGCGTAATAGATAGTTAGCTATTTCTTTAATACCGCGTAATCTAAGAGGAAATAATCGTATAGCTAGCTTAATAATATACTAAAAGATAACCCTCTCTTCTGATTTAGTTAAATTTATTAAATTAGGCCTAGTATCGCGTCGGGCCGTACGACTAACGCGTTATCGTATAAGGGTTATATAATTAACTTCGTAGATACTTACTGCGGCCCTAAGGCTAAGTTTTAGATCTTTTTAGAGATATTTAATAGTAAGAATAATCCTACTTTCGTATAAAGATATGGGCATTCTGTGTTGTGGAGGAATTCGGTGTCTTGTTGTGAGGTAATGTGCTGTGGTGGAAAGTGGTGCACTCGCTTGTGGATTACGTTATACTTCACCACCGAGTAAGACACCACCGAGTGAGACAACACTAAGTGAGACACCACCGAGTGAAGTACGTTAATTAAGAATCCGAGCCTTAAAACTAAAAGTAATATAGGCTAGTGGAGAGGGTAGGACTAGTAAGTAATTTTATCGAAACGATTCTATTTACCGTTTAAAACTAAATCGATTCTAAGAATTAGCACTAGCAAGGGGCGCGGTTATATGGGGTTTGCTGCATATGCTTATTCAATAACATCCGTTGCTAGAGGTCGCTGGTTCCGAGCTCGGAAGAATCAACCTCTAGCAATGGAGGGCATTGCACGGAAGGGAAGAACTAGACGGGATCCCGTATTGTCCATTGGGTATGGTCGTATGTGACAGAAGATGCTTTATGGATAAATATATGGATTTGTGGAAAATTCATCAACTAGGATGGTTTGGTCCCGGACCGGAGACCCCTAGACGTACGACAAGGCCTCGTATGGAACCTTATGCAAATCCTTGGCTACAATCAACGAGCAGGTAATGGGGCCACCATCGCGTCCGGGTTGGAGCTCCACCAGTCGAACTTTACCACCTCCCAGCTGAAACTGACGGTATAGCGTGTCCAAATCTGGCGGCGTGGTTGACTTGCGTTCGCTGCGCCATTTGCTCGTTATGGCTTGAGACCTGGTGAAGGCATGTGAGCTGGCCGAATCGCCGGGCATAGATGAGTAGGCAAGTAGCGTACTGGAGAAATGATGTTCCAATCGCAGCCTCCATCAAGTGCCGATGATACTCCAGAAAGAGGCCATCTGACAAGGGTACTGCCTCCGAGGCCTGTCCGCTCTGACCGAGCTGGAGCTGAAGCAGTTCAACATCTAGGGCTGGCAACTCTGATTTGATAGAGATGAAGACAACATGAGCGAGCAAATAAGCACCACGAAGGCCAGAAAAGTAAGCCTGACCTTGATTGCCATGTCTCTCTCGGAAAAGGCGGTAAGTCTTTTCTAGCCTCTTGAGTCTGGCAACGTGAAGCTCCCTTCCCAAGGCTTCCCTCACGCCACTATCCTGAGCTGGGTCGCCACACGCCAGGAGTTCTTTTGCGTTCATTGCGGCGGCGGGCCCTCAATGGCCTTCGGTCTAGGGTGAGAGCTTGATGCGACTGAATCACAGGTGAACTGGCGGGTCAGCAAGACGAGTGTCGAAGGGTCATGAGTGAGGGGCAAATGCATGATGCGTGCGGCTGAGACGATGGAATGGAAGACGCGACGCACTGAATTTATACATATAGGGCACGTGACTTCCTCCTCTCATGAAATGTTCAAAGATGTTCAAAACCTGCTCAAGTGAAGGTAAATGATCCAAGAAGGAACTAGAAACTGAATCGAATTGGGAAACTAGGTAGATAGAGCCACTGAGTTAATCATAGTCGTAAAACTGCGAGACGATGGACTTGTACTGGCTAGTGCATGCCAGATACCCTGTATGTATCATTTCAAAACTCGGAGCCCTATTGTCTCACTTCCCTCCAACATCATCGCGAGCCAAGGTCGTAGTGCTGGTTCTGGCCCTGGGGCATTCTCAGTCGAGCGCTCTGGCTCTGGCCAGAGGGGCTCTGTGAGTAGCTCCTCTGACAATTGCGACGCTTGATCTTATGGAGACGTGACTCGCCGTCAGGCATGAGTCTCCCTCGCCTATTCTTGGACCGTTCTTGACAGACGAGTCAAAGAGTGGCGAAGTCTGTAAGGTGAGCCAGGAATTTTGATGAGAAATGTCAAGCAGGGTATCGGACTTGTGCAGCTGGTCTCTGAACTTCCTCGCGAGGCCTCAGCAATTCAAAATCCCTTATGATCAGAAGTTTATCAAGTGGACGGGCTGTTGTATCCCAAGCACCTCAATATTCGGGACAGAGCTCTTTTCACAGCTGCTTCCGTTGGCCCTAGCTCAGTCTAGGTCAAATTAATTCACCTTGGTCTCAATGTCTCACTACCTGCTCAGTTCCCGAAAACAGATTCTAAACTTTGATCAGCCGTCGTTGATCGCCACGATACGCAGTCCCGAGCAAGGAATTCGCTCGTCGCTTCGCTGTGCATGGGGATACTTTGAGTATGCTCATTCCGATCTGTTGTCGAGATCAGATGCGACCAACATCATAATAACAGACAGAAGATGCAAAATGAGACATTACCGAGTTGGTGATAAGATAAAAAACCTTAGATCGCCGTCGCCAATATTGCAGAATCCCCCTTCCCTGCTCGGCCCTCACATTCTGCCAATGATTGGCGGCAAGATGGAACATGTGGATGTTAAAAGGGAGCTCTGACAACAAGGCTCGTCGAGCTGACTCACCACACGGAATATCACGGGGGCACGTGTACAAACCACGCATTTTGACAAATTACACATCCTGCTTCAACTCGTCGTCTGGGTATCTACAGTCTCCATGTGCCTCGCCCCTACACCTAGTCATTAGCTCCAGACTCCCACTTCACCTCGATGGGCTGGTGGTTCCCCGAGAACTTTTGGCCCTGGAACCACGTCTCGAACCTGAGATCGGCCGGCGCAACAATGACGCGGACGTCAAACTGACACACACGGTACCTATATCCGGAAGGGCGGAACAGGCACGAGAAGAGAAGCTCCCACCACTCGTCCTTCTTCTCTTGGAGGGCGAGCTGCTCCTGCGCGACACCGTTGAGGTTGCACTTGACTTCGCAGAGCTTGATGGCGCCGGCTGATGTGGTCAGTAAAACGGTGCTACACTCACGTGCAATGCCTGCCCTAGCTTACCTTGGCTCATGCTGCGGGGCAGAAACGATGGCTCGTTCCGGGACGTGATGATGTCGACGGTCCAGGACCTGGTCAGGTCACTCTCGGCCAGCCGGTAGTGGAACGGCTTCGACAACGGCACGTTGGGGTGAATCATGTCGCCCTTTGATTATTAGAATCAATGCGCAACAAAGGCCTGGGCGTTTTGACGCGTCACAGAAACCAGGGCCGGCCTGGTATCAGAGTGAAGGATCGGGACTCACCTTTTTGATCAGCCACTGGATCTGGTTGGAGACCCATTGCTTCTTGGGGTCAAACCGGTCGTTGAAGACCGTCTCGCCATAGTGCAAGCTGGGTACGTACTCCTCCATGACTATGATGCCGTAGCTGGCACGGGCCACCCGCGTCGACAGGACCGACATGGTGCTGCCGGTCTGCCACTTTTGCTGCTCATCTAGGAGAAGACCCCGGGCGACAACGAGCTGGGGCTCGTTGCAGGGCACGATGCGGATGCCGACGGCGGCGGGGTGCGGTTGGTTCGCGTACCGGGCGGCGATCTGGTCCTTGACGTAGACGGAGCTGCCCAGTCCGCCCGAAAGCATCATGTACCTCTGACTTTGTTAGGGATACTATCTGGGCATTTCAAGAAATAACAAGTGGCGGCGACGAACATACCACCTGCTCATTGGGATAGTGATCCCTGACCCAGTCGAGCTGCTGGTCGATGCGGGCAATGACGCCCTGGACCTGCCTGTCAAAGATGGCCTGGAACTGATCCCTGGGAAGAGGGGAAGAAAAAACAGTCAGCAATTTACGCCTCTAGGTGAGCATGCGGCAGATGGGCAGTCGTGTGAGAGAGGTACCTCGAGATGACCATACACCCGGCCTCGACGCCGAGCCCCGGGTGGCTAAATTCGTGCGAGACGCCATCCATCCTAATCTTGAAGACGGGGGCCTGCATCCACGCGCGCTGGCCAAACTTGTGCTTGAGGCTGATGTAGTAGGGGCTCCGGGCCATGGACGGGGCCAGGTCCTGGGGCAGGTGACACGAGACGTCTGGGTGCATGGCGAGCCGCTGCTGGACCAGGTTCCGAAAGGCAATGTCGATGAGGGAACCCCCGATGCCCATGCCGTCAACCGACTTGACCTGGGCCATCTGCGGGAACGACATGTCGTTGCTGGTGATGCGCATCAGGGCCAGGTCCGTCGTGCCCCCGCCGGCATCGACCGTCAGGAATAGGCTGCCGCTGTCAAACGGCACCGGGCTCATCTTGAGTGTCGCCACGGCCGCCGCCTCGGCCTCGGTCAGATCCACCACGGCCGAGTGCCGGAACCCGCCGGCGCCGAACCCAGCCGCCCGGATAGCTGCCTTGAAGTTGTTGACGGTGTCCTTGTCAATGTCCCACGTCGTCGGGCAGCTGAAGAGGAACCGCACCGCCAGCGTGTCCCACGACACGCCCCCCATGACGGCCTCTATGGTCTCGCGGAGGTGCGCGTAGATCTGCCTCAGGAAGTCGGCCACCATCCTCTGCGCGTCGGCCACGCTGGCGGGCGCGCTCGGCAGACCCTGGCTCTGCGCCGCGCTCAGCGTCTCGCCGTCGAGGAAGACCTTGAAGAACTCCCTGCGTATCTTGCCCCGCGGGTCGTCCTCGGCGCACGCGAAGCCCCATGATGAAACGGTCACGCCGTCGCCGTTGTACAGCAGCGTCGTCGGCACCTTGCGTTCATTCTGGCCGCCGTCGCTGGGCCAGTTGTTGATGACCTGGACCGGCATCCGGGGCGTCATCCACGCGACGCCTGCCGGTCATGAGAAGATTTCCTTACATGGCAGGATCAAAGGATTCACCTACCCGTGTATGTCGTCCCCAGGTCAACGGAGACGAGGATGTCTGGTCTCTGCTCCATGATGCCTGGGCGAGAGAGGAGAGGAGAGTGCTCTGGAGGTCAATGACAATATCATTCACTTGAGCGGATGGCGCACGAGGCCGGCTTGAGCTGTCTGTCAACCAGGCCGAGAGACGACGTCGGTTTAATAAAATCGCGGTAGGGGACTCGGCTGCGAGGCATTAAAGCGTGGCAGCTCGACGTCGCGACTAGATATGCTCGAGCTAAGACAGACAAAGCAAAGCCATCGGAGAGGCTGAAGGCACAGACTGACCTTATGAGCAGGCTGCACGGAAGCCTGGGTACGTACGGAGTAAACGAGGCCCAGAGCGCGTTGTCCGCTTCGGAGATGCCGAATCATCTCGACGCCCCAAATAGGGCAGCACCTCTGCAGATTCGGGCCTCAGCACATGTTTGTTGTCTCATTGACAGAGGCCAGTCTGGATCGAGCGCCAAGGAGAAGCGTTGCCCGGGTAAGGTCCATGTCCAGCCCCCGGCTGAGACAATGCCGCCTCCACCGATGAGGCTGCGTCTGGGCTTGAGAGCCGCACCGCAATGGCGGGTGGCGCAGACACGAAAAGGTCCACGTCCTTGGTCTGGTTCGACGCCGAGATCTCTACGTAGACGCAGCCATGTATGTCTCAGTGCAGCGTTCAGCTCCTGCGCCAATCTCAGCCGATCCCCACCGAGCTCTGCAGCCTTGTTCGAGCGGATTTCCTTTCTTTTTCTTATCCCTGTTTTACTTCCTCCGGCCTCCCTCAAGCTCTCTCCAGCTACGTTGGTCTCCGCCTCATCTGGGCGGCGCAGTCCATTCTGTCTGTTCGAGGCAGACACATGTCAAATACAGCGGTCCGTACCTCAAAGTCGGCCTGTTGAGTCCTCTTTTGCTTAGCCATCCAATTCGGCTTCATAGCTCGTCTAACACATACTTGCCTTCACCATGTCCGGCACCATTTCCATCAGCCAGATAATCACCAGTCTTCCTAATCCTCACACATTTACTGATAGCGGTCCGCCTTACACTGTCTGGTGGACCGCGCAGGACGGCTCTGGCGAACCCTCGCTCGTTATCACGGCCACTGGCAACGATCTCAATGCCCTCACAGTACACGCCACCAGCGACCCCGAGGCCGCGGTCATGGACACAGCCACGACTAAATCCAGCGCCGGCGGGGGGGCCGAAAACATCTCGGCCACGTCCACCTCTCCCCCCAGCGAGCCGGCAGAGACAATAACCGACAGGCCCACGGCAGACCCGGACCCCTCCGGGAGGTCCTCAGGCACTAGCACCGGGGCCCTCGCCGGCGCGGCCATCGGCTGCCTCCTGGGTGGCCTCATTATAGGCGCCCTGGTCACCTTTCTCATCGCCCGCCGCATCCGCCGCAAGCAGCGGGAAAGCGATGAGCGGCGCCAGCACCTTGTCCCCTCCGTCAGCGACAAGCTGGACTCCACGCGCGGTCCCGCCCCCGAGTCCAGCGTCAACACGACGGCAACGTCGACCGACGCCCAGCTCGCCAACGTGCTCCTCGACGCCACGCCCGACAAGGACCTCGAGATGGAGCTCCGAGCCCTGGGCGACCTCGTCCGCCTCCACGTCGACAGCAACTACCACACCCAGCCCGTCCAGCTCGACCCTTCGATCCTGTCCCACCACCTCTACGATCTGGGCTTCCCTGGCGATGCGGCCGCCCGCGTGTCCACGCTGTGCCTCGACCCCCGGACCCGGTCCACGGCGCTCGTCCACATCATCTCGGCCATTGCGCTCCGCAGCATCGACATGCGCTCCCCCGGCGCCCCATCCCTGCTGCCCAGCCCCGTAGCCGACTTGGTCAACTCGGCGGCCCGGCCCCACGGCACAGGTAGGATCATGCCCCCCCCCTCATTCGACGTATGAGACCCCTCCCCCCGCTGATCAAAACAGACAAGGAATTCCCCCGAGCCCTCACCAAGTGGCGTGTGCTCTCGGCGTATCTCCTCCACCCGCACCGTGCGGAGCGGACGCCTCTAGCCCCTCCGGAGCCCGCGACAGACCACCAGGTCCACCAGCTCGTCTCGGCCCTTAACGCCGCGCTGTCGCCCTTTGCCGCTCACGGCGACGCCCAGATCAGCCACCTCCGCGCCGTCCTGCACGACTTTGCCAGGTACGGCTGCCTGCTGCTGTCCCAGCCTAGCGAATGGGGTCTCGTCTACGGTGTCGGCCTCGAGGGCCCGGAGCGCAACCAGCTCGGCGTCCGGGCTGGACTGCAGAAGCTGACGAGGCGCGACGGCCGTCCCTACGAGGCGCCGCAGACGGTCACGTATCCGGAGACGCAGGCAGTCGCATAGTCTAGTCGTGTATTCTTGATATCTTTTCCTTGGTTTCTAATTCGGCCCCTTTGGTGCCTTGTTCTCGATGCCCGAGTTGCTGTCCGCCGGTCACAGTCGGAGTACTCTCTCCCCAATACTGCCTTGTTGCTCTGTCCGCCTCTGTACGAGACAAATGGATTCGTCCAGTTGCTGTTGCGTGAATAAAAGTGTCCAGGTCACATAACCGACCCGATATGGTACCCAGCCGTGCAGGATAACCATTTCCATGCCGCGTACCCAGTCCACACAGAGGGCCCACGGATATCTCCCTGTCCGTGCCTTATCTGCGTCAAGCGTGCCGTGTCTGGGGGTGCCTGTTCAGCTGTGGCTTGCCCAGAAGTCCTAGCCGTAGCCACGTCCAATTCCGTGACTGAGACAAGAGTAAGGCTTGGCAAAGGTGTCGAGTGCATGTCCGAAGCTGTATCTGCGTGTTCCCAAACTCCCATCCTGCGGTCTCGACACGTGGTCCGTGCTATACTTGGCTGGAAACTGTACCTTGCGCGGTCCGGAGCCTCAGCCTGCTGATCTATCATCCATAGCTCCAAGATATGGACATCCTAGCCTTCTCCTCACTTGCTGAACCGACATATTCAAGCCTCTCTCGCCTACTCGTTAGTCACTGTATGCAGTACTCAGCGTAGCACTATCCTCATGCCAGCATCTCTCGTGTAGACGCACGCACGGAGAGATGGAGCCGGTCCAAATCATTGCCGGCCTGCGGGTGACGTACCACCTGGTCCTCTTCGGCATCGACATTGCCCAGGTCCCCGACGGCGTCCGGTACTGCCTCGGCCTCATCCGAACCTGCTACCAGGACGTCCAGCACCTCATTGAGCTCCGTCAGACGTACCTGGCCCTCCTCGAGAAGCGGCCGCTCGTGCTCGAGCGCGTCAACAACATCATATCCACCGCCACCGACAGTCTCCGCGAGGTGTGCGCCATTGTCGAGAAGTGCCGCCCGGACCCGGGCAAGAGCAGGATCTCCTTCCTCGACCGCATGGCATGGGTTTTGAATGACGAGAAAACCATCAAGGCCCAGGAGCCCATGCTGTCACGCCAGCACGCCACCGTCCTGGCCGAGCTCAACTTTCTCCGCAACATTGCCCTCATGGCCCCCGTTGGCCCCGGCGAGAACAAGTCGGAGCCCAAGCCGACAAAATTTATCGACAATCTGGCTCTGCTGGGAGGTCTGATGGGGAGATCAGGTACGTGCATCCACCGCCATTGCCTCCTCCTCCTCCCACCGTCTCCAACACTGGACGTGTACAGACGACCACAGCTTACCGGGTCCGTCCCGGGCCGCAACGTGGAGCACATCTACATCTGGCCATATCCCGGGGGCCAACTCCAACAACATGACGGACGGGGCTGATGCGCCGCCTCCGCCATACTGCCCGTCGGTCACCAGTGGTGCTCGCCCGCCTCCAGTCACCTATCCGCCAGCTCACCGGACCACGACACATACTCCACCCCACCAGCCTAATAAGCCTACATGGTCGCTGCCGCACCAGCCGGCATCGATGCCCCCGCATCAGGCCGCCCGGTATCCAACCCACCCCCAGAAGGCGACACCTTATCCGCCCCAGAGCCAGATGACTACCCCCTATCCAACCCCGGCCCAGGAGACGGTCTCTTCCTCGCCCATGCAGACCAGCACGTACTCGGCGGCCCCTCAAGTACCGGCCTACGGATCCTCCCCGAGTCAGACCCCCACCCAGCAGGGCATCGATGCGACGGCCAGGGCATCACTGCCCCTACACACCCAAGGCAGGGTACCCCCCGCGACTCCGACCCCGGCCATCACCCGTGGAGGCACAATCAGATCCCGCGACGAGGGAGGCTTTCGCGCCATCTTTGGCGACGCAGTTCTCGCCAACCCGCCCGTCAGCCGCGCCCCGTCGATGCTCCAACCCATGCCGACAGGCAGCTCCGCCGTCTCGGTGCTGAGCAGCACCATGTCAACCGCCGGCTACTACGCCGCCTCGCCCGCGCAGTTCCCGACGGTCACCACGGGGGTGCCAGCCCCCGTCCTGAGCCCCATGACGACGGGCAGCTCCATCCTGCGCCCCCGGAGCCCAATGACTCAGATGAGTCCACCCGGCGGAGGGGCCGGCGCCGCCTACATGCAGCCGTCGGGCAAGGGTACTGCCAGTGCTGGCTGGGGAATGTACTCCCCCATGCCCGGGCCGTTGAATCCCGCGTTTGCCGCGACGGACCCCAATGCCCAGGCCCACGGTCCCGCAGAGTTGCCAGGGATGAACATGTACGCTGAGCCCAAGTTTGGCAGTCACTTTGGCGCCGTAGAGCTCCCTGCCACAAACTTCCGCTCGGAGCCCTGTCGTCCCAGTCATCTGGGGGCTGCCGAGCTTCCTTAATTTGAGGTTGGGTGGTGCGTGAGAAGATGTCACGGTTGCGATCAGGAGTCACGGGAGTCATGACGGCTTGCCAACTTGGTTGCTCGGCGGCCTGGAGCTACTCAACACTACGGACTAAGTATTCCCTCGCCCTTTTGCGTCCGAGGAGGCAACCCCTGCCTGCCCTACCCAATCACATTAACTTCCCCTCCTTATATAAGACACGCCTCCCCTACTACCCCGACACGGATATAAATAACGTGACTTAGAAAGCTGAGAGCGCCTAACGCCTAGAGCCTCGTCTTAAGGACACGGAGCTAATTACGGATATATATACATACACGCGATATTGCTTTTCTAACGGGGTATTACACATACGCCTTTTCGCGCCACTTGCTTACTAGTAAGAGAGGAGATAACTATGCTAGAATAACCTATTATTATCTCCCGTAGTAACGCCGCTACCTCGACTTAAGAATCTTATGGTTATTCCCGGCTATATCACCTTCCTCCACACCGACCTAGCGATATTCTTAGCACACGACCACTACTAAAGACAAAATGGTTTTATTTACGGGATTCTACGACTACCCCGACGCCCCGATAATAATAGCTTGCCGCTTCGTTCCTTATAGCGCCGGGTTCGGTGTATATCTACTATCACTTTATCGGATAGGGAGGTCGACTACGTAAGGTGGGCTATAACCAGTCGTTCCGATCACTAACGCGTAGAGCTAACGGGAGCAGAATATTTTCCTCGTATAAATAAAGGAGAAGGAGTCTCGGTGACCGAAAGAGATTCTCTACGATCTCTTCCACACGGCTTAGCTATCAGTGTGGAGGTACTACCACTATAAGCCGTGATAAATCGTATAGCTTCTAACTTTTAGTATAATAATCTGATATATATTAAGTAAGGTAATCCTGCCACGGCTTAGGTCGTAGTAAGGCACGTAATATTATAGATACCGTTTTATGACATAGACGAGGAGCCCGCTTATTACGACCTAACATACGACCGCATACGCCGCTATACGGCCCGCACGTGATATAATATATAACCCACTCTTTATCACCAATCATTATAGGATCATCTACGAAATACCATGATCCGGATTATCGCACTTATTTTATAAGCCTTATAATCCACGGGTATTATTCGTTTCACGTAATGATCCCCTTAGTATATAGGAAGCCTGGCTTCACTATAGTCAGTCTCTACTCAGCTCCTTAGCTATTAATATAATTATTTACGTAAGATCTACTATCTCGTATATAGACTATAACCCGACCGCTTAAGTTAACGATATCCTAGTATACTTAGTTCAAACCCGACGTCTATTCTATCTACCCGGTAGCTAGTCTAGACCCGAACGTCATATATTAATAGCTCTTATTTAATATACTACCGTGTTAAGTACTTAAGCAATACGACACCATAGCTAGCGAATCCTCTAAGTCAACCTCCAAGTCCACCGATAAGGGTAAGGCTACGGCCAAACACGCCGAGCCCACCCAAATAGCTCAGTCTATGGACCTGGACTCCGAAGACTCTAACGGTAAGGACACGAGGATCCTTAAGGGATAAGTCCGAGAACTCTAAGGATAATTATAGTAAGTACTCGATATACAGGCTCACGATAAACGGCAGTACGACGAAGCGTACCGATCGTTTAACGAGGGAGTGGCCATATAATAGCAATAAGCCGCTTAGCTAAGGAATAAGATAAATAGTATGAGCAATAATACTATTCGACAAACCACCGGTAAAGACCCAGGAGAGATTATAAAGCCACGCTAACTAGGACCGTTCGACGGTACGACTAAGGACCTTTAAGGGTTCCTAACGTAGGTTAGAGCCTACTAATAGTACTTTATAAGAGCTCGGCCATCCGATATAAGCCGTCCTTATAAGCATATACTCCAAACCTTCTAGTGCCACGTATAATGAAATAAAAGCAGAGACGAGGGTGTATATAATTACTCCTATTATTATACAAACCCTTACACGCTTATAAGTCGCTATAAAGTTTATTACTCACCTTTAAGCGAAATTAGCTAGCTAGCCTTTCTCGTTTAAAGTTACTAGGAGGCTATTAGCGGTATATTACACGAAAAAGTTTCACTATAGAGGCGTACTAGTAGCGGTCGTACTAGGCGCAGGCTATGCCGCGAGCCGGCTTATAAGACTATAAGTTCGTGCGTAGAGTAAGGGGTATAGTCTATTAAAAAGTATTAGCCTATTAACTAAAAGTAAGTATAGCTTACTATAGTTATATCGAGAAGCCGCTATAGATAAGAGCCCGGCGTATTTATAGGCGTGTCCTCCCACACCCCTTCGAATACTATATATAATCAAGAAAAAAGAGAGATAAGAGCGATTCTAGGAGAAAGTAGAACAACCGGGATCCTTCTCACGGATCTATAGTTTAAGATCCTCTAGGTCTAGTTTAATAATAAATACCCGTCCGGAAATACAACTAAAACCCACATATAACCTTAAGATATATATAACCGATAGTCTGTACTCGGGAGGTAGCTAGAGTAGCCTATAAGTATTCTTCACGATCTAAATACTATCGTCACTAATTCCGTAACTATAATAGCGAGGCTATATCGGAGATACCTCCTGTGGCTTTATATCCGAAGATATAGGATCTATATCTAGAGTTCCGCCTTTGGAAAGTAGGCTAGAGTTTATTAGTGAATCGAAAGAAAGGTAATATATAATCCTATCGACTTTGAGTGTTTGCACGCACGCGCCCGTGGCCGCGTCCTAGATCTTAACGGTGCTATCCTCGGATCCTAAGGTAAGCCACCTGCCGTCCGCTATAAAGGCTACCGAGAAGACTACGACGCAATAGCCCTTTAGCGTCTATACGCATACCGCCGTAGCCGTATCCTAGATCTTAACGGTCTTATCGTAGGACCCCGAGGCGAGCCGCCTGCCGTCCGCTATAAAGGCCACTGAGTTAACTAAGCCGCCGTGGCCCTCGAGCGTTTGCATACACGCGCCTGTCGCTGTTTCCTAGATCTTGATAGTCTTATCACTAGACCCCGAGGCGAGCCGCCTGCCGCCCGCCGTAAAGACCACCGAGTCAACCTAGCCGCCGTGGCCCTCGAGCGTTTACATACACGCGCCCGTCGCCGTGTCCTAGATCTTGACGGTCTTATCGCCGGACCCCGAGGCCAGCCGCCTGCCGTCTGCCGTGAAGGCTACCGAGCTGACGCTATCGCTATGGCCTTTGAGCGTCGCCGTGCAAGCGCCCGTGGCCGTATCCTAGATCTTGACGGTCTTATCGTAGGACCCCGAGGCGAGCCGTCTGCCGCCCGCCGTGAAGGCGACCGAGCTAACCGAGCCGCTATAGCTCTCTAGCGTCTGTACGTACGCGCCGGTAGCCGTATCCTAGATCTTGACGGTCTTGTCCTCGGACCCTGAGGCGAGCCGCCTGCCGTCCGCTGTGAAGGCTACTAAGTTAACCTCGTTATCGTGGCCCACGAGCGTCTGCACGCACGCGCCCGTCGCCGTTTTCTAGATCTTGACGGTTTTGTTAGTAGACCCCGAGGCGAGCTGCCTGCCGCCCGCCGCAAAGGCCACTGAGCTAACCTAGCCGCCGTGGCCCTCGAGCGTTTGCACACACGCGCCCGTCGCCGTATCCCAGATCTTGACGGTCTAGTCGTGGGACCCCGAGGCGAGGCGCCTGCCGCCCGCCGTGAAGGCGACCGAGCTGACCGAGCCGCTATAGCTCTCCAGCGTCTGCACGCACGCGCCGGTAGCCGTATCCTAGATCTTAACGGTCTGGTCGTGGGACCCTGAGGCGAGCCGCCTGCCGTCCGCCGTGAAGGCTACCGAGGTGACCTCGATGCTGTGGCCCTCGAGCGTCTGCACGCACGCGTCCTAATCCGGCTATATTTGCGACGGCGACATAGCCTAGCTTGATATATCGTGCTTAAAAAGATTCTTTATTAGGCTACGTGTAGGACTGAATATAAGAGCCGATGCGTATAATTAAAGTAGCGTAATCTTAATCGCTCCTTTATAGGATAAGATAAATCGATACGCGTTATAAAGTAGGTCTGCTAATTACTGCGCTCTTGCCGCTGCCTGGATATACGTATTAAACTATATCCTAAACACAAAATAACGCGACTCACTACTAATGCCCGAAGCTTCTGTATAGCTAGCACGGCCTGCGATATGTTGCGCTGAAGACTTATAGCCTCTAGCTAGTAAAGATACTTCTGCTAGAGGAATGTATAAATAGGGCCGCCCTCCTAGAGGTGTTCTAGTGTACGCTTCTCGGCAAGATCTATATCCTGGAGATAATTAACCTAGTGCACACAAGAGTACTGCACGGGTGCCAACGGGTCGGGACCTAGCCGGGGGACGTCGTCGATAGAGAATCCTGGGGCGACTAGATAATATATATCGCGATGGAGTGTTCGTGATATGATATCGATAGATCTTAAGAAGATAGCTGTGACGTTCGGGTCTAGACTAGCTACCGGGTAGATAGAATAGAAGTCGGGTTTTGAACTAAGTATACTAGGATGTCGTTGACTTAAGCGGTCGGGTCACAGTCTATGTGCGAGATAGTAGATCTTGCGTAGACGATTGTATTAATAGCTAAGGAGCTGGTAGAGACTGACTATGGTGAAGCTAGGCTTCCTATATACTGAATAAATATTATGTAGTCGACGATAGTCGACTATCGTCTACGAGCGCCTGTCTAGTATAGTCGACTATAGTCGCTAGTCGTCTATAGTCGTCTACCATACGTGGTGTGCGAGTGACGTATGATAGGCGGAAAAAGTAAGGGGCACGTAAGAGGCGCATACGGTCGTATATCGGGTCGTAATATGATATCTCCCCTTCCGAGATTCTGTCCCAGAATCAACCAAAACCCGTTAGTCGTCCTTCGTAAGTTATGCTCGGCAACTTCTCCCTCTCATTATACCTAACCGTATGCAGAAACGCCGTACTACCCATAAGGAAATCAACGACTCTTGTCGCGCCGCGT